CAATCTAATTTGCTGATTTGCTGCTCAAGAAACATTTACTTTTAAGATCATCAGTTTAAAATGGTTGTTCTGCTTGGTGAACTGTTTTTTTCTGCAGTATCCTTTGAATAGAAAGTGCAAAAGAACATTTATTTGAAGTAGAAATATTTTGTAACATTATTTTTTACTAATGTTTTCTGTTTCTAAATGATCTGAAAACATCAACTTGACAATTTATTGTTAAAAATTATTTATATAAAGTAAATTAAGTACTTGTCATGTGACTTGTGAAGAAAATGGAAAAAGGGTAAATAATATTTGTGTTGTTTTTAAGCTGTAAATATTTGTCAAATTATGCTAAATGTATGAAATCTATGAAATTAGCCTTGACAAGTCTGACAGTTAAGTCCGCACATTTAAAAAGTAATTTCCATTACAGAGTGTTTTTAAAAGCACTACATCATTTGAGATGTGATGGAAATGGTAGCTGACTTAGTAACCAGTAATATAATATTACTTGCATTACTGGTTGCAGAGTTCTGTGATGCATGTATACCGCCGGACTATGTCAACAGACAAATGGAATAAACCGATACTGCCATGTTTAGTGCTGTTTCTAAATCTCTACCGGGTGACTATTAGATCACAACATTGGAGTAGTCACTAAGGTTCAAGGTAAGTAAGGTTCAATAAATTATCACTTAGATATAATACATTACGCATCCATATCTCTTTCCTTTGTGCTTTGAACATTTCTATGCGTAGCGCTGCGCGCTGTGACCCTATGTTGCTTCAAGCGCATCATTTTGTGCACCGGATGTGCGTAAGCGCTTTGTGCCGCTCCGTATTGGAGCCTTTAATATTATAAATAGGGCTGGGTATCGAGTTCGATACTTTTTAGGCACCGACCGAATTGCCTCGATACCATCGAGTATCGAAAAACGTCTCGTCGTTCGCTGCCAAATTTCGATACCTAAGGGGTTAATCTCATCAATGTCAGTGAGCCAATAAGCCTGCAGCACTAGGTGTGCTCGACTAGAAGCGGCGCGGCGCGGCGCATTGACATCCGCGAGAGCGATTCGAAAGCGTACGGAGCAGTCTGCTCTCTATAGCTCTCGTGGTACTGTAATACACCGATCGGTCTGCACAGTT